GGGATCGGTTCTGGGACCGTTATTGTTTCTTATCTACATAAACGACATAGTTGACAGCGTAGATGACAGGGTTGGGGTTCGGTTGTTTGCAGACGACTGCATAATATACAAAGAAGTAGAAACCCGTAATGATCAGCTAGCTCTCGAAAATAATCTTCAGAATGTCTATGCATGGTGTGAACAGTGGCAAATCAAATGTTATTGAACTTGGATAAATGTACATTACTAAGGGTTACAAATAAAAAAACTGTACTGAACTTTCCCTATACAATTAATGGCACTCAAGTTAAAGAAGCGTCTGAAATTAAGTACCTTGGGGTAACAATTACGAGCAGTTTGAACTGGAATGCACATGTTGCCTATGTTTGTGCTGCTGCGAGACGAGCGTTGTGGTCCCTAAGGCGCAAACTTCCACTGGCACCCTCCAGTGTCAAGCTCAGTGCCTAAAAGACTTTAGTTAGGCCAGTTTTAAAATACGCGTGCGTAGTCTGGGACCCGTGTACACAAAAAGCCATAGACGAATTAGAGAAAGTTCAAAGGCTATAGCTGCGCGATTCATATGCAATAGGCACCGCCGCTTAGACAGCCCATCAGAAATGTTGAAATCACTTGAAATGGAGTCTTTGAGATCGCGCCGGAAAAATTTCAGATTGAAGGTTTTTGTACCTAATGAAGAAAATTACTTTGATTTAGATTCATCACCTTACATAAAGCACGTCACACACCGAAATACACGCTTTAATCATGGAAGTCTTTTAGAGCCATACCAAAGCGCAAACAATATTTTTAAAAATTCGTTTTTCCCAAGGACCATAATAGAATGGAATTGCTTAGAAAAAGACACTGTTGATAGCCCTACCCCTGATGTATTTTTTCGAGATTGCGATGATATATGCTATTTAGTATCAGCGTTGTGTTGAAGAACGCGTGTGTTTGCGTCTCGGCCATCCCTTCCCCTTACTTTCCCCTCCCTTCCCCCCCCCCCCCCCCCCCCCCCACACACACACACACACACTCCTGCCTGGGCCCCAA